GCCCCTCGGGCGGGGGCCGCGGCAGCCGCGTGCCGGCAGCGGGACGGGGACGGTAGCGCCGTCCCCGCAGCAGGTGAAGGCCCGGCCCGCACTCGGCCTTGCGAGGCCCAAAACGCTCTGGCCTCCCACCCTGCTCCCGACCGTGCTGCAACGGGGGCAGCAAAGCCCGGGACAGCCCCTAAACGGGGCAGTTTCCCTCCCTCTGGGATCAACCTCCTCCTCGCCCTGCACAAAACACTTCCCACTCCGAACCCGAGCGAAGGGGAGGGCAGGGCAAGGTCCTGAGCCCGTTACAAACAGCGTCGAGAGGCCACGATTTATCGGCAGGGCCCCAACGCCGCGGGCCGGCCTGGCCGCGCCGAAGGCAGCCGGCACCGCGCGCGCCTTCCACCAACCGTAAATCCAGTGCAAAGCCCAAAGCAGGGAACGCCGAATCCCACGGCGCTCGCTAGCAGGAGGCTGAACTAGCCACATTGCTCTGCCTGAGCTCAGTTCCCCGGACACAACGGAAGGAAGAGGCGTTGGGGTAAGGCATTAGCACAGCTGGCTTCGGGCCGGGGAGGTGCGCTGCCCTGCCGTGCGATTCATGGGAAAAGGACCTGCGGTGACTCCAGCTACCCAGATCACTTCAGAACGACAGAAATTTGTTATCCAAAAAGGTACTGTAACAATTTAATGCCCTCGGGGAGGGTGTTATATAATAACAGACCTCAAAAGCATATCTTTCCATAGATATTACATAAACATGTGGAATTACTGAACACAGTAAATTTCTGTTTACTTTTTCTTTACTGTTTTACAGGAGAGGAGGTTTCTCCCGTGTCGAATAAAGCTCGCAGGGAGGTCTGACCCACTCTGCATTACGGCAGCGACCTTACCCGGAACGCAAGGATCCTCACGCCCGTGCATTTTTCCTTAAGGAATTTTCCATAGGGCTAGAAAAGCCACTGTAGCACATACTACCCATCGTACAAGTGGGGCTGGAAGTAGCACATCACGTTTGTAAAAGGACAGTCAGCAGCACCGGTAACAGAGAACAGAGACGCTCCAAACCCTTCCCTGCTCCGCTGCCCGGATAACCGGGCTCGGAGCTGTGTCCAAGGCACTTCTGAAATGCAGCATAGAAAGTTTTACACGTAAAACAAAACCAAAACCAGAAAAGAACAATGAGGAACCTACAGACCACAGTAATAAAACTGGCAAAATGCTAACAGCTACCTACCATTTTTTTCTTCATTAATATAAAAAAAGTGAAACTTCAGCGATCCAGTGTACAAATACAAAAATTGTGCATAATAAATGTACTATAATACTGTACATACAGCGTAAACCGTTCAATGAGAATGATTTAAATATACCTGTTTGTCTCCTGACTTGGAAGACAGAAGAATAAAGTTCTATAATCCTAGACTATGTGTATAAACACTTTTCTGAGAGCCTGGATCACTAGTCAACAGTATCCCTGAAAATAAGCAGAGCCAAATATTTACTCCTTGGAAGCAATTATTCAAGGGGGTTCTGTGATAAGCTAGGAGCAAAACACAATATTTAAATTCAACCACCATTAAATCCAGACCGAATTCTTCCCATCTCCTGATTTGCTACTGGTGCTGCTTTTGTTCGAGCCGGCTTTGGATTTCTTCTCTCTGGAAGTGCCGGGATTGTTTTGGTTGTTGTAGGCCTGAATGGCGAGGTCCAGGCGTTCCTGAGCCACTTTAATTTCCCTCTGCAGGTGTTCCAGGTCGGCGGGGATGTTCTCCTCGTTGCTCCCGTACTGCTGCTCCTGAGCTATGTTGGCTTTGTTCTGCTTGTAGGCCATCTTGGCGTTGGACAGTTCCGTGTACTGGATCTGCTCCGGCTTCACCGCGATGTTGTAGCCGGGAGGCGCTGACGGCGTGTTCCAAGTGAACGGGTAGTTGTAGGTACCCGAGTCATCCAACTCTTTCCTTTTGCTGTTTAACGTGTCCCGGATTGTGCCAAACCCCAAGTGCAGCATCTCCCAGACATTCAAGAGCAAACACAGGCAGCTCACGCCGTACATTATTAGGAGGAAAATAGTCTTTTCGGTCGGCCTCGAAATAAAACAATCTATCTTGTGCGGGCACGGCTTCCGGCTGCACACGAATATGGGGCTGACCTCGAAACCGTACAGAAAATACTGCCCCACCAGGAAGCCGATCTCGAAGGCGGTCCTGGCGAGCAGCTGCAGCACGTAGATCCTCATGAGGCCGTCGTCGCGGATGCGCCGCCGCCCGTCGTGCTTGGCCTTGGCCGGCGGCTCCTTGTGCTCCCGCTCGCTTTCCAGCTCGATTTCTGGGTACATCATCGGGTCCTCCTCGTGATCCTCCTCGGTTTCCTCTAGGCCGCGGTGCTGTTTCCAGCGCATGGAAAAACTTTTGCTCCGGATTCTCCTGTCGGCTTCGCTGTGTTCCACCATGCGGGCGATTTTATGAATCGCGTAGCCTAAATACATCACGGACGGAGTGGCCACGAGAATGATCTGAAACACCCAAAATCTCACGTGCGAAAGAGGAGCAAAAGCGTCGTAGCAGACGTTCTCGCAGCCAGGCTGCTCCGTGTTGCACACAAACTTGCTCTGTTCGTCGTAATAAATGGATTCTCCTCCTACAGCAGTGAGCACAATCCGAAAGACAATCAGCACCGTCAGCCAGATTTTGCCAACAAAGGTTGAGTGATTGTGGATCTCCTCTAACAGGCGGGTCAAAAAACTCCAACTCATGGTGGTCAAATAATTTTATCTTTAAAAAACAAAACAAACCCAAAAAGCAAAGCCAAATACTTATGAGTTTATCAGCTTTAATCTAAATCCTGCACACATTCAATCCAGAGACTTAGGAAAGTTGGGAATCATTTTTGCAAGCTTCGCGCAGCCATTTTTATAGTGTCACCTGTTCTCGGGAGCCTCCAGCAGCCAGGATTTGCTTGAGGTTTCTCTTCTGGGCGGCGTTGAGAAAACCACTATAAAAACAAGAACAGAAAGATATTCACTGTGATTTCTACCCACACAAAAAAGAAATAGTTGCTCCCAAAGCTGCTTGTAAGCGGAGGACAGATGTGGCTACTCTGCATTGAAAAATGTTAAAAAATATATATACTTTAGGCCCAAACCTTCCAGGCAGGGTGGATCTGGTAGCTCAGCTCCTGGGAGGTCACTGCAGCCATGACCCACTCCTGGAGCAGGTCTCTCTACCTGGAGCCGGGACATGGCCTAACGAATCCTGGCTGGACCAGGACAGGGCCTAACAAAGCCGGGCCGGAGATGGGACACGGCCTAACAAAGCCGGGCCAGAGATGGGACATGGCCTAACGAAACCGGGATGGATATGGGACATGGCCTAACAAAGCCAGGCCGGGGACGGGACATGGCCTAATGAAACCGGGCCAGAGGTGGGACGTGCCCTAATGAAGCCGGGCCGGAGATGGGACATGGCCTAACGAACCCGGCCGGAGGTGGGACACGGTTTAATGAAGCTGGGCCAGAGATGGGACATGGCCTAATGAATCCCAGCGGGAGCCGAGACACGGCCTAACGAAACCGGGCTGGATATGGGACGTGGCCTAACGAAGCCGGGCTGGATATGGGACATGGCCTAACGAATCCAGGCTGGAGACGGGACACGGCCTAACGAATCTGGGCCGGAGACGGGACACAGCTTAATGAAGCCGGGCTAGAGATGGGACACGGCCTAATGAATCCTGGCTGGAGATGGGACATGGCCTAAGGAATCCCGGCCGGAGCCGGGCTATAGCCCAGCGAATCTCGGCTGGAGACGGGACACGGCCGAGCGAGCGCCAGGCTGCTCCTCGTGCGGGTTGGGGTCGCTCCGTCGGCAGCGCCCACAGGGAGGACCTGGGTGTTTACATGGAGTCTCACAGCGGTGCTGAGGAAGCGGAAGGGAAACGGAGCCAGAGTTCCCTGCCCGGAATTGTAGAAGACAGATAGGGGACATCAAGCAATAATTTGCTGTCATAAAACATAGATCAGTAGGAACTGCGGCCTGGCAACACTACAGAGCAGTATAACAAAACTCCGCTAATGACACAGGCCCATCGTTAACTCTCAAAACAGCAAAACTGGGGCAATATTTGGAATAGAAACATCTGTTTGATGTCCGAGATGTCAGAGCCTCTAATCATGTTCGACATCTATTAGTGATGAAGAGTTTGAATTCAGAGGCCCTAGATGACATTTGTTTAAAGGTCCTAAAACCAGATCTGGACAAAGGACACTTCTGGCCCTGTGACCTTCAGTAATTTACTCTAAAACTAAAGAACTCTAGACTGGAAGAAAATGAGTATTTGCAGCTATTCGAACTTTTTTTTTCTCACCACTATAGAGCTGTTCACAGACAAAATAATGAAATCTGAGGAGATACAATCAATATGGGATTTAAGACTATAAATGTCATTCCTTTTTACTGAAATTAAATGCTTCATTGATAAAGGCAACACCACAGGCATAACATTCCTGGCAGTGCAAGGCATTTGTTTTATTACCCCCACAACAGCATGAGGGGAAAAAATAGTGTGATTTGGTATTAGAAGAGCACACATTAAGTACTAAAAGTAACACAAAAATCTTGAAAAATGATTCCTGCATTATGAATCAAGATGAATGTTTTGATTACAGGCTGGGAAACTAGTCTGTTTTTTTCCTCTGTGATCCAGACCCAAACAGCAAAGGGCTGCTGACAAAACCTGCGAGGGCACCCAAGTTCGCAGGCTGACAAACAACCACGAGAACGGCAGCGACGCAGAAAAACAGGCACCGCAGAGGGTCTGAGCGCACCAAAACTGCTCTTGAACATGGCTCAACGCACAGATGCGTATGGGAAGATGCACAGAATGCACAGAAATGTATGGATTGTTTAACCAGGAGAGCAGCTGTGCCCAGCAGGAAAGGGCAGGAGGGTCCCCGCGGAGGAGCGTTTCCGCAGGGCTGCCGCCGGAGCAGGAGCTGCCGCCGCGCTCCGTGGCCGTGCGGCGAGCGGGAGCGACGAGGCCACAGCCTTCACGAGTCCTTCAAGCTCCAGAGATGGGTTATGTTGTGCTCAAAACCATTGAAAGAACGGAGCAGAAGCCTAGAAGTGAGAGCTTTGGAGAGTTCAGTTTGTTTAGACGCGTGGGTGGAAAAGGAAGAGCGACTGGAGCGACTGGAGAGTTGCTGAATCCGGTGCCTGTCCATCGAGCACGCAGCTGGTGCAGGGATTAGGATGGGGATGTTCTTTTACTGGAAGAGCAAGAGCTGCCGGGAGCCGCGCGGCACCTTCCTGCAGGAGGAGGTGTCGGGGCCAGCGCGATCCCAACCACCTCCCAACCCTGTGCAGCACCCGCGCTAGGTGAGGCCGTATCTCCAACACCCGCATCCCGGGCTTTTTCCAATGACTGCCTTGAGCTGGGATTCAACACTGGCAGTAGGACAAATTTAGGGCTCCTCTCCAAGCTTTAAAAACACCCTTGATTGGCTACAAGTCAAATGAGAGCAAGAGCTAGAGGTTATGGAGCTGTAGCAACATCTAGTTCAAACCAAGGTGCCTTGGAAATCTAGTCGCTGACCAAGAACGTGTAACAAAACATACGTGTTGCTGCTGATACAGACTAGGTGATCAGACAAAGGCAAACAGGGATTAGAAATGATTAATTTTCGCTCACCAAAAATATTCAGGCCAAATTATTTTTTATAAGTGAGCTACTGTGTAAATTCAAAATGAATTAAATGGGCTTTTGCCAGTGCAAATCTGGGCAAAAAAAGCAGGAACTGGCCTTAAATTTCAGGTAATGTCAATGTTTATTCATCAGCAGTTACTAACAGAGAAGTTTTGAATAAGAGCAGTTTGTAGCGTGAGAGGAAATTGAGTCTTTGCTTTTAGCTGAATGACTCTTGACATTTACTGAGTTCTTCTGGGGCAACCGTCAGCCCTTCCAAGGTACCTGTGGGACACACAACTGTTGATTTATAGTCACTTCTCTGCTTGTTTTCCCCTCCCAGAAGCCTCTCAGCTTGTTGTGTTGTAGCATGGACATCCAGGGAGGGCCGAGGCTCCTGTCACCCACTCGGTTGGGGTGTCCCCGAGCCGCACACTCGGGCCCAGCGCAGCGGGCCCCGCTTGGGACTTGCCTTAGGAGGAAGAAGGGGAGTCACATCCTGAATGTCACCTGTTATGTAAAGGAAGAAGGGGAATCACATCCCGAATGTGACCCATTATGTAAAGGAAGAACGTGACAAAATAACGTACAGATATCACCACCGCAGGCGTTTGCGTCTTGAGGGTGCGCTGACTCGGGTGGGAACACTGCACACACCAGCCCTGTGCCTAACACCCTGTTGCTGGGAGAGTTCTCGCTGGCAAGATTTGAACTTACTGAAAAACAGTTTTTTACGCCACAGGAAAATATCATTTATTCTAAATATAGCTTTAATCCAAACCAGAGCTACTAACACAAATATGAGAGAAACCACCAAATAACTTCTGGTATTTCTGTTTTTAAGGAAACATTTTGACTCAGTGAAATGGCCTGTGATTAAATCTTGGTTCCAGGGGAAATTTTCAGACCACCCAAATTAAAAGTGATTTTTGAGTAAAAAGTTGTGAGCAAAATTAGGCTTAAAACAGTGCCATCCTAGAGCGACCTCAGGAGACTTCCCAAGGTCGGAGCGAGCTGTTCCTGCCTTCCCAACAGGATCCCGATAACCTGCCGTAACCTTCACCCAGCGGACACTTAACGTTTCCCCGGATACATTGTTCTGGGAACATTTAACTCGATAACTTTCCCTTGGCTGAAACAAAAGTCTATGGACACTGACACGTATCTGAAAAAAAAAAAGCAAAATGTCAGCAATTTCCTCTAATTTAAGTCATGCCAGAAAGTGCATTTGAGAAAGACTTTCAGTCCTTGTCTTTGTCATAAGTTCATCGCAGCACTTATGGCAGAGGAGGCTCCGTGGAGGGGACAGGACATAGGAGGCAGCGCGGCACGCGGCGCCGACAGCAAGCGGTTCCGAGGACTGCAGCCGAGCAAAGCGGCGCTCAGGGACACTGACGTGCCCCAAGAGGAAGGAAAAATCTGCAGGAGGTTCGTGGAAAAAAAGGCAGTTTCAGGTAAACAGATTCACTGCAGGGAAACTTCTATTCTAGCACATCTATATTGTTGAGATAGGGAGCTGTATCGTGGACAGACCCGCACAGCAGCAGCTTCCCCTCTTCATCCCACGTGGGGTTTGGAACAGGAATTCGCTTCATCCCACTGCAGCTTTCTAATGGAATTGAGACGGCCTCCCTCCCATTACGGAGGCAGGAAAGGCTCCTCCGAGGAGTGATCCAGGAGCGACCCGGGAATCCTCTCCTCGGATGGGCCTCGGAGAGGCCGCGAATCCCCCTCTCCAGCCCCGCTCACCTCGTGCCACGGGGACGCAGCCCACGGGCCGGGGCCACAGCGGGTTTTGCCCCAGATGTTCATCACAGGCTCCTCGCGCCCCAAGACGCAGCTCCCGGGGGAACAGGATCCCCATGCTGTCCAATCCAGCTGCATTTCAGTGGGACACAAGGACCTGGCTTTCCCTGGAAAAGACTTGCCTTAACGGTGCGCCTCGGGAGCAAGAGGTTTTGCAGACACAATCATTATGAGGAGGATAGCTGCAGAAGGCTTTTTTTCTGCTGCTTCTTAATAACACATCCTGCCATGTCATCCTAAGCAAATCTGATTAATGCATTAATGATATACACATTTTGTTTTGTTTTTAAGCAGTTGAAAAAAAAGATGTATGCTGAGTGGAAAAAAAAAACAGGAATACATGCATGGCAATTTTGTTGATATTCAAAAGAGGTTTCATGCTGCATGAAAGTGAAATTGGGCCCACGGGCTAATTAAAATGGGATTTGAATTAGGATGAATGAATTATTAGCATTATTCCTTCAAATCTCATTTAC